TACTATATATATATATATATATATATATATATTCAGTTGTGGTGGGGAAAAATGTGTGAATGAAAACCCCTTCCACCTGAAGTAAGTGGATAGTTAATACATTGCTAAACACAAATACACACAACAGTCAAGCCATAAGACTTGCTTTTCCCGCAGAAATCTCAATTTATCAGTGCTCTCACTACTGCAAGGGATTCTGGGTAGATGTATGCAAATGATCTCAACAAAGAACCACGTTTTTGCCTCATAATTCCACTTTATACATGGATTCCTTGGAGTATGTGTCTGCTGTATACACCAGCTTTGAAACACAACTCAGGGATGGGAGCAAAGCCAGTGAACCACTCATGGACATCAGTTTCGTTGTTAATGCAACTCATCAGCATGAGGTTGGTTACTGGTTTGCTATGGAGGCTTGGCGTTACTTGTAAAGTACATACCAAAAGAGTTGTGGTGGGGAAAAAGTGTGGATGAAAACCCCTTCCACCTGAAGTAAATGGATAGTTAATACATTGCTAAACACAAATACATACACCAGTCAAGCCATAAGACTTGCTTTTCAAGTTGTGTTTCAAAACTGTTGTATACAGCAGACATATATATATATATATATATATATATATATACATATATATATATATATATATATATACACAGTATCTCATAAAAGTGAGCACACCCCTAACATTTTTGTAAATATTTTAGTGACAACACTAAAGAAATGACACTCTGCTACAATGTAAAGTAGTAACTGTACAGCCTGTATAACAGTGTAAATTTGCTGTCCCCTCAAAATAACTCAACACATAGCCATTAATGACTAAATCGTAGGCAACAAAAGTGAGTACACGCCCAATTAGCCATTTTTACTCCCTGTGTCATGTGACTCATTAGTGTTACAAGGTCTCAGCTGTAAATGGGGAGCAGGTGTACTAAATTTGCCATGAGGTGCTATGTTGTATATATATATATATAGTGTAGTTTTTTAAGAAATCCTTCGCTTTATCTGCCAACTCCTCCCATTTTTGAAGGGAGTAGCTGTCAGGGAGTATAACTGATGAAGTTGAGGTAGTTCAAAGTCAACAGAATAAAATAATCTTGGCCCAGATGAAATCAGCCTTTGTGCATTCTTACTAAAAAATTTTTTGAAATTCTTTATTTTTCGATGACAGGAAGTACATAGTATCAACAGGAGTACGGCTTATGCAAAAGCCGAAGCATGGTTCCGACAGATTTGGTTGACATGGATTGTGGCTTACATACATTCTGTCAAGGTTTTTGACCTTTTGTCTTACAAAGAAAGAACCTATTAACATTTAAGAGCTAGACCCTTGCATCAAAGACCGCCTCAAGCTGTTGAGGTCGTTCATGTGCATCCGTGTTGGTGTGCCCCCCTTTTTGGCTCTCAGAATCGAGCCATCCTGTGTCTCCTTCCCCTTGGCTCCCATGGGTCCCCACCGGGCAAACAGCTGAGGCTCCTTTCTCGGCTCCAGAGGGGCCGTGACCTCGGCCAATGCTCTCTGGTGGATTCCCCAAGCCTTTGCCCATTTTTATTGGTTGTTTTTCGCTTTGTATTTTGTATTATTGGATAGATATGTGTTTTCTGTGAAGAATGGCCAAGTGTTAAAAATAAAAACAAATAAATAAAAAAGGAGAAAAAGAGAAAAAAGGGGAAAAAAGGAAAAATAATCCAGAAACTATTTGAATTTTGGCAAGCAAATTTGATACTCTGTTAATATAACTTTTCAAGTAACCCTTAAATACGCTAAATCACTTCAACTGATACCTTTGACTTATTTAAAAAAACAGAAACAAAACACCACTTTAAAAAAATTGCACTAGGAACACCTTCTGGCCGCCAAGCAGGCAGACAGGATGGGTTCCACCCTGGCAAATTGCAGCAGTGGCAGACTTACAACTCGCAGGTCCCCTGGTTAATAGGAGAGGTTGAGCTGTAGTAGGTATGTTCCTTTCAATGGACTACACTGTGTAACTATAGTAACATGGAAACATAGAATGTGATGGCAGATTTGACCTTATCTTATAGTTAGGATATCATCAGCAAAAAGACATACCTTACCATCAAGACCTTCTGCAATATACAAAAATATTAAAGTGAATGGGTCCAAGTACAGATCCCTGAGGTACCCCACTGGTAACAAGACCTTGCCTTGAATATACTCCATTGACTACAACCCTCTGTTGCATGTCACTCAGTCACTGTATTACCCATTTAACAATATTGGAATCCAAAGTTAAAGATTGCAGTTTCATGATAAGCCTTCTATATGCAACATTGTCAAAGGCCTTACTGAAATCTAGGTAAGCAATGTCTACTGCACCACCCTGATCTATTATTGTAATTACCCATTCAAAAAAAATCAATAAGATTAGTTTGGCATGATCTCCCTGAAGTAAACCCATGTTGTCTCTAAACTTGAAATCCATGTGATTTTAGATGTTCAACAATCCTATCCTTTAACATGGTTTCCATTACTTTCCCCACTACTGAAGTACGGCTTACTGGCCTATAGTTGCCCAACTCCTCCCTACTATCTTTCTTGTGAATGGGCGCAACATTCGCTAACTTCCAATCTTCTGGGAATACTCCTGTTAACAATGATTGGGTAAATAAATCCATTAATGGTTTTGCTAGTACACAACTAAGCACTTTTAATAACTTTGGGTGTATTCCATCTGGTCCCATTGACTTATTTGTCTTACTTTTGACAGTTGAAATAGAACCTCTTCCTCTGTAAACTCACATAACAAATTAGTCATTTTTCCTTATTCCTTACTGAGGTCCCTTTCCTTCATTTTCATCTGTAAACACTGAGCAAAAATATTAATTGAGGCAGCCAACAATACCTTTATCCTCTTCTACATGCCTTCCTTCTTTTGTTTTTACTCTAACTAATCCTTGTTTTACTTTCCTTTTCTCATTTATGTATCTAAAAATGTTTTGTCACCTTTTTTTATTGACTGTGCTATTTTCTCTCCTGTGTGTGATTTGGAAGCTCTTATAACTTTCTTAGCCTCTTTCTGCCTCATCTTACAGATTGCCTATTTTATCTTTTTATCTCACTCTGCCTAAATTTCACTCCACACTTATGTATCTACCTCTAACCTACCCTTAATTTTTCTCTCCCAGACTCACTCGTGTTTCGTATTCTATACCAGCATCTTACTTCTGCCCCCCACATGTACCGCATGGCTGCATGTTGTAACAAAGTTTGTATATTTATTTTATTAAAAGAACAGTATAAGTTACCCAGACCACTTCATCTTATTGAAGTGGTCTATGTGCAGTCTCCCTGTCACCTAAGCCCTGCAATGTAAAACATTGTAGTTGCAGAGAAACTGCAATATTTACATTGCATGGTTAAGCCTGTCTCTAATGGCTGTCTCCTAAGTGCTTCCTGCTGTGTCATGGAGTTTAACTCCATGAAACGATGCTGGACATCCTCATGTTTTGCATGAGGACATTCAGTGTCTTCTAAATCCTCACAGGAAAGCATTTATTCTATGGTTTCTTATGGGGAAGGCCATTAGGTTCCCTCTCGCATTGATGTCGGATGAGTTGGAGTTGTTGCCATAGAAACATGCATGTCTAGACTGGACATCTGAAAAGAGTATGAGTTAGTAAGATGACCACGCCCACCTTGGGTGCCAAAAACTAATTCTGCACCCATGCATCTGTGACCAAGTCTCCTCTTATTGCATGTACCTACACCTATCTCCCACCCCAAGTATGGTGATGCCAGACTCAACATTTTCTAACACACACTTGTCACACCAACAGATTTTTTTTTTTTTATGCAACAACAGCAGGAGGGGTGCTGCTCCATCTGCTGCTATTGGCCAACAGTAAACTCTGTGCTCTGCACCCCCTTATCCTTTAGTGTGTCTCTCTGAACTCCTCTACCTTGAGTGTCTCTTAATCCTGTCTACTATTTGTGTGTCTCTTTTAGACTTGTGCATATGGATTTTGTCAAATGTCAATTCATTCAAATATGATTTAATATGATTATTCACAGTTTAACCTAAGGCGGAGATTGGCGTTATCTTTACAATGTCATGAGTGTACCTGACGGTTTGACTTATGGTAGTGGGTATGCATCATAGGGATATAGGATAGGGTTATTGTTGTTGTTGTTGTTCCTCGAACTCTATTGACATCTCTATTTAAGGCTGTGTTGCTTTCTCAGCGTGAATGTCAGACGAGCAAAGTTGTATCCGGTGATCCAATAAAGGAGGACTGGATTTCCAAAGTGGGGTATGTGTCTGGCTCCAGGGTACCAGGTTACAATGAGTGGGTACTGAGATAGTCGCACCACGGTTGCCATGTGGTTGTGTACGTGGAGTATTTATCTGTGAGGGAGTGACATGTCTCCTCTAGGCCCCTAATTGTTTCAACTTTTTGTATCCACTCTCGGATGGATGGTGGGTGTGGGTGCTTCCATAGTGCTGGTATAAGTTGGTTCGCTGCAGAGATCAGGTGTGTCAGTAGGCCTGCTGTCGATTTAGGTACGTCTCGGGGGGTAATCAGGAATAGGAAAAGTTCCGGGGTAAAAGGGACATGGGCGGTTAGAATCGACTGTATCATCCCATGTATGCGCTTCCAGTAGTGTTGGATCACCGGGCAAGACCACCAGATGTGGGTGGTGTTGCCTTCGGGTGCATGACACCTCCAGCAATGGTGTGGGTGTGTTGGGAATAGGGATTGTAATTTTGTCGGGGTGTAGTGCCATCTCACTACCCTTTTGTAGTTACTCTCTTGGGTTGTGGTGTTTCTAGAGGACCTATGGATATGCGTGAATATGGCGCGCCACGTTTCTGGTGTGAAAGAGGTATTTAGTTCCTTTTCCCAGGCCGAGGTAAAGGCCGGTGGGTGGTGAGGCATTGTTTTAGTGATCTTTGTGTACATCTCTGAGATGATTTTCTTCTTTAAGGTATGTTCTTTGCAGAGTATTTCTAATTGTGTGTGAGAACGGACAGGATTATGTGCCAATGGCCCTGTGTGTAGGAAGTTGTTTATACTGAAATGTTTGCAGTACAGTGTGACCCCCTGTTGTAGTTTGCAAAGGTTTCACCTGAGTTCCCGTGTCATCTACAACCTCGGCGAGGTGCAGGTAGTGTGAGTCATGGTATTGCTTGAATGCTCTCCCATCCTCTCCCGGTTGAAAGAGAGGGTTGTGTGTTATTGGATATAACGGGGAAGGGTAAGGTGACATTGTCTGGTGAGTCCTTATCTTAGCCCACATACGTAGGGTTGGTGAGATCGTGGGGTGTGGGGAGTTCAGTAAAAATGGCTGTCTGGATTTGTGCCAAGGTATTGTGAAAATGGGCGTCCTGAAGAAAGTATTTTCTATGTGTATCCATTGTGCGGTAGGGTGTGGGTGTGACCAGTCATACAGTCTGGTCAAGAGGACTGCTTGGTGATATCTCTCTGGCCTAGGCCCCCTTCGTCCTTTGGTCGTGTGAGGAGTGAGTAGGCTAGCCTTGGGTTCTTGTGTGCCCAAATGTAAGTCGTAAAGGTTTTCCGGACCATCGTGAACCATGACTTAGGTAGTGTAATTGGTAATACTTGCATGACATATAAGAGCCGTGGTAGAACATTCATTTTGAGAATGTTCAGCCTGCAGAACCATCCGAATTGAGGTTTGTTCCAGGTGTTGAGATCTGATTGTATGTTTTTCATCAAACTAGAGAAATTACTCTCAAATAGGTGGGATGCCTCTTTGGTTAAGTGAATACCTAGGTATTTTATCGTGTGGGTCGCCCATACAAATGGGTGTGTTTGTTGTATAATGTCTGCGTCATGAGGGGAAATGTTTAGCGGCAATATCTCGCATTTGCTGAGGTTTGCTGAGGTTGGCTTTGAAATTAGAAATCTTGCTAAATGATTCCATTTCTGCCATTAGGTGAGGTATCGACGACACTGGATCTGAGATTGTGAATAGCATGTCGTCTGCAAACGCTGCTATCTTGTGTTCCGTTGTGCCCGTTGTGATGCCTTTAATCGAGGCCTTGTCTCTAATCCCCTGAAGGAAGGGCTCTAGTACCAAGACAAATAGGAGAGGCGACAGGGGACACCCTTGTCTGGTGCCGTTCCTTATTGCCACTGGTTCCGATAATTGACCATTGACCCTAATGTGCGCCGTGGGGTGTGAATATATTGCATCGAACCATTTGAGCCAGTTTGGACCGAACCCCATGTATTGTAAGGTGTGCGATAACATAGTCCAGTCTACCCTGTCAAACGCCTTTTCGGCATCGATTGACAGGAGCAGACTGGGGCATCCATCTCTCGTTGCTTTGTGTATGAGGTTTAGCAATTTTGTGGTGTTGTGTCTAGCTTCCCTGTCAGGGATGAAACCTGATTGGTCTCCATGTATCAGTCCTGGTAACAGCGGTCTAAGTCTGTTGGCCAGGATTTTTGTGAATAATTTTAAGTCAATATTTATGAAGGAGATTGGCCTGTAACTGCTGCATTGGGTTAAATCTTTCCCTGGTTTAGGAAGTAGCGTAATCGTTGCGTTCAAGGCCTGTGGGGGGAGAGTATCTGTTTTGAGTAGGGAATTGAACGTGTTTTGGAAGTGGGGTATGAGCAGCGGGGCAAACGTCTTGTAGTATTTGGCAGTGAGTCCATCAGGGCCTGGACTTTTCCCTAGTGGAAGCTGTTTGATTACTTGGAGGCATTCGTCTGTTGAAATAGGTTTTTCTAAGGATTCTTGAAGATTGTGTGGTAAGGCTTTGTGAATCCTACGAGATAGGAAATCTCGGATGTCTGCTGTCGCTGGGGGGCTTTGTCTTAAATTGTATAGCGAGGAATAAAAATCTTTGAATTCTGCGAGTATGTCAGTCATTGAGTGTGAGAATTTACCTTCCTTCGTGCGTATGGCCGCTATGAATGTATGTTCCCGTTGTTTCTTTAGTGCGTGGGCCAGCAGGCGCCCGCATTTACCCCCTTGCGTGTAGTATGTGCATCTTGTCTTGGCTAGGGAATGTTTAGTATTGATGTAGAGAATTGTATTTAACTCGGTCCTTTTTTCTATCAGTGTCTTAAATGTGGTGAGATTGAGATCGTTTTTATGTATTCCCTCTAGTTTCCTAATCTCTCTAGTGAGACTAAGTGTGCGGGATTCCCTCAGTTTTTTGAGTCTAGAGGCTGCCTGGATGAACGTACCTCTTATTGTGCTCTTATGTGCTTCCCAAATGATGGGGTAAGTGGATACTGGGTGTGTGTTGAGCTCAAAATACTGTCCCAGGGAGGATTCGGCTTGGTTCCGGATATTGGTGTGGTTAAGTAGGGTATCATTCAGTTTCCACTGTGTCCGAGTGGGGTGGAGGGAGGGAATCTGAATTGAGAGGGAAATTGGTGCGTGATCGGACCACGTGATTGCATCGTATTTGCAGGAGTGGACTAAATTCAAAAATCTGTGTGGGAGGAGAAATAAGTCAATTCTCGAATAAGAGCACGAGGAGAATGAGTAATAGGAATAGTCCCGCTCAGCGGGGTGTAAGACGCGCCAACAGTCATAGAGCTGATGCGAGTCCATAAGTTTCTGGATTTGCACCCGTGTTGAAACCTGATATGTGGAGGCTTGTGAGGTTGTGTCTAGTGCTCCATCTAGGGAGATGTTGAAGTCGCCTCCTAAAATCAACTGCTTGATTATCTTACGTAAGGCTTGGAATTGTTTCCTATTAGGAAGGTATATGTTGGCTAAGGTTAGGCCCTTCAGAAAGATATATCTCCCATTGTCATCAGATATGTGTTCTTTGTATGTGAATGGTAGATGCGGGGAAAGGAGAATCGCCACTCCCCGTGACTTCGAGCCTGCGTAATTGCTAAAGTATCCCTTTGTGTAGTGTCTAGATTTTAGTGATGGTGCTGAGTCTTTACGAAAGTGTGTCTCTTGTATGAACACCACCTCCGCTTTTGTTTTATGATAATCCGTGAGGGCCATGTGGCGCTTTTCGGGAGTATTCAGCCCCCTAGCATTGTGTGAGAGTATTGAAATTGTTGCCATAGCTGAAGGTTTTGGGGGAGGGTAGTGTGGGAAGGGGTTACTATGATCGTGTGGAGTGTGCGTTTTAGCCTATATCTGTGGATGTTGCGTGATGCGTACCCTGTTTGTATCCGATAAGCCAAACGATTGGCTAGCGTCGTATAAATTCTTAAACCAAAAGATGTTGCTTTACTACACAATGTCAGCGCGATATACAAATTTTAACAAAACAAAACTATATACAATAAATGATGTCGTAGGATTACTGGTGTTGCTCTTTGGCAACTATAGAAATAGAAATACCTAGGGTCTGCCCCTGAGAAGTCCCGTAGTCTACAGTGGGCAAGGTTGGGATGACCCTGATATAGGTGGAGGGGGGGGAGAAGGAGCGTGTACACTTTTTTTTTTCTTCTCCCCTGTTAGCTCCTTTGTTATAACTGGCGATATTTACAGTTTTTTCAAAGTATAACACGGTGGGCTCCTGGGGCACACGGAGCTGATCCGCATCCTGGTTTGTTAATGCTTCTTGGAGGTAAATGTCAGTTAAGGCAATAGGGTAGCGAGGGAAGAGGTCAGATGACACTTTTTATGGGGGAAGGAGGTAAGGGTTGTCCGAGTGAATCCTATTACCTTTCCCTCCCCTGGGTATCCCCTTTTTGTCAGATGTCGGTATAGTATCCCCTTCTCTAAAAGGTAACGTGTACCGTGTCTTAGTATGTCTGGGCTGTGCCGCCTTCTCTGGCCGGTCTTATCCAAGTCAGTCAGTACCTTTGTCTCCCCGTCGTGTCATGTGGCATATGTATACCCCTTGATTGGGAAATACTTGTTGACCTCACAGTCATATCTAGGCAAGTCACCCCTATAGTATTAGTGTATGTAATTTTCACAATTACATAGGGCAAAAACATAAGCATGTATATGACCTGAGGTTTCAGCGCCGGCCATATTGGCCTCTCTTGTCGGCATTAGAGATTTATCCCTTTCGGGACCATGGTGTTGGGGTATGTCCAAGTCTTGGTGGTGGGCTCTATCTGGGAGTAGAGGCCAGCGTCTTTATATTGAAATTCGGACGTGCAGAGAAGAGTATCATGGGGTTGTTACTAGAAAGTGTCAGTAGAGGCGATTTAGCATCCAGCAACTGTGGTCTGTCCTCCTTCTTCTAATTGTTGGGAAAGTCCAGCCTGAGTCAGCCGTTGCCTCTTAGCCGGGGATCTCCATTGTGGTCTTTTCTGTTGAGATGGTGCTGTTAATGCCGGATCAGGAGCATACCAATCCAAGATGGATGTTTCTGCCAGATTCAGCGCTTCGGTGAAGGGTACGATGTCCTGGTGTGTAGAGATCGTATACGTGGTTCCGCGGGTGTTTACGATGAGGGCAAAAGGGAAACCCCATCTGTACCGTATGTTGCGCGAACGGAGCTGGTCGGTAATTGGCCGTAGGGCCCGTCTTGCTTGCAGCGTGTGCCAAGATAGATCTTGATAGATCTGTATTTCGTGTCCCTGATATAACAAGGGGCCTGAGGTGTCCCTGAGCTGTTTCAAAATTTCTTCCTTAAGAGCGTAGTAGTGGATTCGGCAGATAATATCTCTTGGTGCATCGCCGACCGCTGCTTTGGGGCGAAGAGAACGGTGTGCTCTGTCTAGAATAACTGGGGAGTCTGGCTTACGCTTAAGTATAAGATCGAAAAGCGAGGCCAAGATGTTATACAGGTTTTCCCCTTCTGCTTCGGGCATTCCCTTTATGCGTAAATTATTTCTCCTGCCCCTATTGTCGATGTCATCTAGAGAGCGTTGCATCATAGATAAATGCCTTTCTTGGGCTTTGACTTTAGCTGATAGGGAGTGCATTAATGTGTGGTGTGACCCCCTTTCATCCTCCAGGTCCTGGACTCTGCGGCCTACCTGAGTTATTTCTGAATTGAGGCTTTCCATCTTCTGTTGGAAAGTAGTTTCCAATTTCCCTAGCATCTGAGCTAGGTCAGCTCTGGAGGGCAGATTTCTTAGTATGCCTTTAATGTCAGTATCTATCGATACTTGTGATGTGTCCGACGCTGTGGGGCTTGGAGGGCCTGAGTCGGCGGTTACTGCCGCCGGCGCCATATTGGATTCCCCGAGGTCCGCCGCGCGGTCGGAGTAATCCCTGAATAAGCGGGCCACAGTGCCCGATTTTCCGGCTGGGGTCTTCCCAGAGTGCTGGGGAGCAGGGTGAGCCTTTTTGTGGTTACCCATTGTGGGTTTATTACCTCCGTTTTCCGCGGTTCCGTCCTTGCTGCTCAGGAGCTGAGTTAGTGTGCTGCCATATAGCTCGGCTGTCGGCCACGCCCCCCCGGTTTAATTTCATATCTATGAAGCACCATATGGATGTATAATATATATCATAATAATAATATTTATATTACATGTATTTTGCAATACACTGATTATCCCATTTTCACCCCCTGTCCCTCCTTTTTTTTGGCCTGAATATATATCCATGGATGATATTTTGCCAAAATGAACCACATAAATTCATATTGCAGATGGAGATCCCTAAGTAAATTCCAATTTCAGAATAGTTTATTTAGCTCTACTGAACTTTTCCACCATGCACAGGTCTAGTCTTTTTATTTACCATTACTTCTTCGATGTCTCTTAATACCTCACACCCCTTGTGTTTCTTAACCTGCTTATATTTTTTTTTTGTCCTCCCTACATATGTACATAGTCACATATATAGACATGCAGTCATATACCTCCATTGAGGTATGCAGGATCGCACACATAGACACACAAACACACTGTCCTGTGCATAAACACACAAACACACGTACAGTCACATACATACACACACACACACACACACACACACACACACACAGTCACTTAGTTATACACGGATTGTCACAAACACACAGTTATAGTCACATGCGCACAATTACAAACACAGTAACATTTACATGCAGTCACACACAGTAACAGTCACATAGTCATACACACAAAGTAAACAATCACCTGCATGCGTTAACAGACACATGCAAAGTCACACATGTTTTTGACATTTTTTTTCTTGCTTACTGTGATAGGAACAGAGGTGCCTGGTCTAGTGTTGGGCAAGCAGGGATGCAGAGATTCTCCTCTGCCCCCCTTCACTGTGCCCCCATGTGGCTTTATCCATTGGCTCTTCATCCTCACCCCATGAATAGCTGTGTGCATGGCTGGCTATCTAAAGATGGCTACTGTAATGTGCTACTCTAGCTGTGCACTTGCATGCCTTTCTAAAAAAGGCTACCACCACGTGCAACTCTGGCACAGGTGGAACTCTTCAAGTTAGTCCAGAAGTATAGAGCCACTGGCTATACAGAACAGGCATACGAGTAAGGTATATTTAATTATGGTTTAAAAGACAAAACAAAGATACAAAGCTTTAGCTGTGAGGCCTTAATCATTTATGAACATTCATACTAAGGCACACAAATAAATACCCAAGTGTACTTCTAAAGCCCTCCCCCTCCTCAGTCTTAAATGCAGTCATGATAGCATACATCTATGAAAAAGAATTGAACATGAGGTCCCACACAGACAACCAATAAAGTTAAAAAGTAAAGTAAGAAATAAACACAAAACATAAGAAGAATGTTGTATCTTTGTTTTGGCTTTTGGGCCATAATTAAATACACCTTACTCTTCACCCTGCACTGTGTAACCTGTGGCTCTATACTTTTGAATTTACATTGGGGGCTAGCGTACCTGAGCTCTGGTGTATCAAGAGCTCTGGTGTATCAAGAGTGTGCAGCACTCTACTACCTGGTTGGACCTCTTCTAGTTAGTGTGGACCAGTCTATGAGGAAGGGCCCCGGTCGGCTACTGAACTGTAGTTCGTAGCATTAGTGAGTGCTTCTCCTAGAAAAGCATGGTTTTAATGCTTATCTGTGACAAGCATTATTAGTGGATTGTGGTGATGCCACTGATGTACCATCTGTACCAATGTATATCTACAAGAAGCATCTGATAGGATACAAGTCGTCAGTGTTAATGACTTTACAGGAGGTGAATTGTAACTGTAGTAAGGAGACTCTATCAGTGCTGGAATAGAGGTTATTTTAAATAATGTATAAAAGATTTTAATGCCTAAATGGGCATATGCCACTTCATTCAAAAATATACATACCAGTATATTGTTTTCTAATCTGAGTGACTCTTTAATGCCTTCAATGCCCATGATAACTTATATCTTTCATTTAATTGTATTCATAGATTTAAAACATTTATGAATTTGAGGCATTTTCCATCTCAGCGATTACATTTTGAACTAGCCTTTATAAGCTTCAGTTTTCTTACTGAAATTAACTAATTAGTGATAAACCCCATAAAGATATCCCTTCTTATAAAAAGGAACCTTACAGGGACACTATTGTCACCAGAACCATTACTACATAATGTAGTGGTTCTGGTGTCTATAGCATGTCCCTGTATCTTTTTAATCTAAACACTACCTTTTCATGGATTGGCTGATATCATCAAGTTTGATCCTCTCAACCATGGAGGGACGGAGACCTAAATAGCTAGTTCAACATAATGGTGTCAGGAATATATGTTTGTATTCCTGTTGCTAAAGTGTTCCTTTAAGAATTCACTTTTTTGTT